AGTGTGTAAGGCGTACATACTGTGGTCTGCCAGTCAGGTAGTCCACAATCCAGGACACGAGGGGAGCATCCACCTGCATTGTTGTCATCTTCTCACCCAGTAGAGCCGGACGGATGGTGTCAAAAGCACTGGAGAAGCACTCTCACCTGTCTGTCCAGGTGAGAGTAGAAGCGGTTTCTAATAGGTGATGACATCAACTGGAGGAGGCGTGGCCAAACAGCAGTTTGTTTTGGTTTCATGCTGGTGCTTAACGGCGACATCTACTGGATCAAAAAGTTGCACATTCTTCCTTTAACAAAATACATTTATAGTTTAAACAAGGAAAAAAAATCTAACAGAATGAGTTTGTAAGTCGTAAATAAACACACACTCAGGTGAGTAACCTGTACTGAACCTTTGTATTTTTCTGGCGTACCAACAAGGGTTTTAGTTTTTAGTTTATTTTAATCAATGATGTAGAGAAAACAAATGAAAACTTTGCTTTGTTTACAAAAATCTAATTTTGAGTTTCAACAACGAGAAAAAAAAGTAACAATTTTGAGATTAAAAAGGCATAATTATTCATAAAAAGTCATAATTATGAGATTTGACTCAATGTGAGCAGTTTTAATGCAAAGCAAAGTTTTCTTCTTTTTTTCTCCTGTCCCTAACGGGCTTTCCATACCCACGGACGGATCAACACCGTCCTTGTTGTTTTTTGCTTCAGGATGAGGAGTTTCAGAAAATCCCTCCATGAAATAGAGTTTGTCTCGGGTCAGTTCATGAGGTCGGACATTTTTTTGAACTAAACTCCACCAGTGTAACGTCAGATGACGTCACAGAGACAGCTGCAGATTTTTTACTTTCGCTTTTGACGCCTCTATTTTGAAGAAGTGCGCAGTTTTCTCTGCGTCATAAAACACTTTGGAGAAGCAGAAAGTGAGCTGTGAGTGAAGAAGAGTTCGGTCGTTTTGAAAGTTTACATTTGTTTTGAACTTTAGTCACCATGGGCCAACAAGTCTGACAGAAGCCTATCAGCGTGTCGACGGTCAAACAGCATGGAGCCGAACATCCGGTGAGATCCTTTACAATAATCATGACATTATTATTTAGGCCTATCACATTTAAAAACACATGTTTTCAAGTGTTTTGAAGACAAAGGCAGGAAGTCAGGAATATGACAGAGCAGCAACAGTCAGACAAAACAGAGAAGAGAACAAATAAAGAGAATTAAAGGATCATTTTAGAATAGAGATACATGAGAAAGAGATAAAAGCGGGACATGATTCAGGTTGTTTTAGATTCTCACTTGAAATTTGACAAACTTGATAAGTCGTGCAAAACTGGGCGAGGCCAGCCACACACCCGTTAGTTCAGACCAAGGCAGTCATTTTGACTGTTTTTTAATGTTGCAATGTAATAACTTAAATAAAACCTATGTAACTACAGGACCATGACTTTTCCTAAATGTGTCTATATTTTATTCTAGCATTGTTATTTTATCAAAAACATAAAACACAAAAGAGTTTTTGAGTATTTCTACCTTGAAAGTCCATAGCGGGCATATTGACTGCATGCATTATAGCCAGTGTATCATTTCAGTATTCACTACTTTTTCCCGCTCTTGAAGGTAGAGGTGGGCGATATGGGAAAAATATCATATCACCATTTTTTTGGGGCAAAATCACGATCACGATTTTTTTCATACTGATCTTTAGATAAATTTGTAAGTTACTGACCAGTTCAACCAAACTTATTTCCTGTATAATGTTTTTAAATGCCACAAAAACTGAGCAGACAAGTTTAATCTATTTGAAAAACATCTTTGTAGGAGGTCTGGAGGTCTCTCACCCAGAACATCTTTAGCAACAGAAATGTCTTTCCCTCAATTGATCAATATTTATGAACATTTGAAGGTTTTCCTCACCACTTTTAAATGATGATTTAGTTATGTGTCCTCTTTTTATGTTCATCAGGAACATTTTCACACAGTGATGCATTCATTTAAAAACATGTAGACTTGAAGTTGTTGAAGTTTCTGTTCTGTTTTAGCCCTGCAGAGTTCCTCCAGCTGGAGCTTCATACAGGCTCTGCAGACTTTGTTGTTTTTATGACATCATTGGACTAACTTTAGTTTAGTTTATATATAATCAAACATAATACAGAATGTGTTCATTCTGTGACACATGATCAAAGTAAGTTTTACTGACAGAAGAGTTTAATTCATAGAAGGGGCGGGACATTGTTGATTGACAGACAGACAGTCACCATGGTTACTCACTCTCACCTGCCTGCTGCTTTGTAACGTCGTTTAGTGTAATCCCTATAGTTCAGTTATCACAACAGGTGAGCTTCAGGTGGAGAAGCTTGATAAGTAACTTTTAAAAACTGAGAGAGAGCAGAAAACACCGACAGCAACATTTGAAAACACCGGGGTTATATCTCCCCTCACTGTCTGTCTGAGCTCCAACCTGTCTGTCTCTGACTGTTAACGTCTCTCCGTGTCGCTATCTGAGATGTAGGCTAATCTTAACTGTGCACACTATGCAGATAAGTTAACTGTTGCTCACAGCGTGTCGGTTTGGAAACATATCAGAACAGTTGCATATAACCGAGATGGAGTTGTTTTTGCAGACTTTACTTTTAAGTTTCGTTTTCACCGCTGCGGAGCAAAAAAGGAGGGGAGGGGGGGGGGGGGGGGGGGCGTCTGTGTGGGAGCATAAACTGCAGCATGATAGAAATAAACACATCAGCCCGGTTCTACGATCTCTCTGCTTTGGCACTTTAAAATCCTTCACGATCTAAGATCGTTATATCACCCACCACTACTTGAAGGTGCACATCGCTGTTGCCTAGCAACTATTGTTTATAACGCTCAAACCAAGGAGGAAAGAAAGCTTACCCGCCTAAAACCATATAGAAAGAATAGGAGACACACATTTGAATGAATCAACATTGAAAAGGCAGAATAGAGTAAATTAGGATCTGATTTAGAACAGAATAGAATGAAATGTCAGGAAGGAGGAGGATTGCTGCCACAGAGGCTCCAGAGCCTTGATGAGGCAGAGTCTGATGGAGGTGCAGGTTCGGATACAGAAAGTGATGTCTCCTGGTCTCTCTTCATCTGACACCGGCTCTGAGATTAAACCTGAGAATGATACAGAGATCATTCCTGTCATGATTTGGTTTCTTATTTTCACGTGACCATCTGAAATCAAATAAAAAGTGACAGAGTTCAATAGGGCTGTTGAAATGAATCATTTACTTCACTAGAAGATGAATGAATCGATGCAGGGACATGACGTAATCGATGCTGACGAGGGTTAGAAAAAGCATCTGCTAACCTCTACATGTGTTTGAGCAGCGTTGAGTGAGTTTGTTTTACCTAAACACACACGGTGGTGTGTAATGAAAGTAACGTAGGCTAACAGAGGGATTTGTGACAGAAAACAACATCAATTGAGTCCCGGTCCTGGTCTTGCTGACTTTATGAGCAGAGTCAGCTGGTCCTGCAGGCTCAGACCACAGTGCTCCGCTGCAGGCTGAAACGCTTGACTCGGTGTCTCTTTAGCCGACCGCAGCTCGGGTTAGCATCTTCATCACAGCAAAGGTGTGTTTAAACTGATGCCTCGCTGTCTTAAGTCCAGGATAACTAAAAGAAGGGGGCTGTGGCGGTGACTCGGATAAAGTGAGCGGCTGTAAACACAGTAGAGTCCCGACAGTATCACCGCTAAGTGCACCTCCGCTAAAGATGAGAAACACTTTCTACTTCCGACAAGTTCTTCACAATAAAAGTCCCCTGCCTATCTGTAGTTGTAGTGCTTTTAATGTGAAACCTTCATATCAGGAAATGGGGTGTTTACAACAGTAGCAACTTAACACAACTCGTGTGAAATAAAAAGAAACAAAAGTAACCCTGAACAAAGCTCACAGCTGAAGACTACAACGTCCTGAGAAGAGAACACACAGAGACTTCAAAACATAATACTGTCATCTAATAAACTAAACTTATTACCTATACTGTAGGCTACCTCTATAATGTATTCATTTGAACTTACAATGTAAAGAGATTGATAATGACATTGTTGTCTGAAGCACTTTTTACATTTTACAAAAGGAGTTCATATTTACAAGACTGTTTGTCTCTGTTTATGAAAAAGTAGACATGTGCAGAATATAGAAAATTGAGGATGAATCGTGATGCATCGTGATATGGAATCGTTGACTGGATAATCGTAATGGAATCGTAAGACAGTGAAGATGCACAGCTCTAGAGTTCAAGGTTTTTAAAAGTCCAGTAAAACAGAGGCTGGAACTGAAGCAAGACAGTGAACTTTGACCGCTTCCTCTTATAATCCTCATTTTACTGTTTGACAATAATAAACCAGATTCTGGACAACAGGTGAATTTGGGGCCTGGTGGCCTAGTGGACTAGGCCTAAGTCAGGGGTAAAGTACTTCCTGCATTGCCTTACTACAGCTATGGACCTGCTCCATTAAAGAGGTCGTTAACGCTGACAGCCCTATACGCCTAAACACTAACAACACTTCAGCATCGAGATTCATACTCACACTCCAAGCTTTGTTTTATGTTGAAGCCCACAGAAACGCCCCATCCCCCTGGATCTGTGCCTGCACCAGGCCATTAAAGGTGACGGGTCGACGGATGGCCGTGTTGAAGTTTTAGGACAACAGTTCTCAAATTCACTGAGGTGAGATATTCATTTGATCTAAATTCCACTAAATGTAAAATAACCAGATCATTAAACTTTGGTGTTTTCATCTCTGCTCCTTTTTCCTGAGACATGAGAATATTAACATCCTGGTCTTCCTCTGTGTTTAACAGCAAGAAAAGACAACCAACTGGACCTGGACCTGGACCTGGACTGGACCTGGACCCAGCTGTCAGTCTGCAATGAGCGACATGTCAGCTGGGCGCTTAATTGATTTTAAAGCACAACCAGCTTCTCTTCCACATGGGTAAGCTGTTTATGACATAATATATAAAACTCAAAGATTATGAATTAATTTTCTTGGAGAGTATATTTATATCCTGCTTGTTTCTTTACTTCCTACATTTATTCTGAAACTACAAGTCTCTGAATCACATGGCCACCTTAAAGGAGCGATATGTAAGATTACATATTACTACAATGCAGCAGCCAGTATGTCCTCCTTCTAACTTTAGATTCTGCTCCTGAATGCTCTGGATTTATTTGGACCAGAGAAGGTAGGCGCTTTTAAGGCGACCCCCACATGGCCGTTTTGGCTCCTCGGTTTAGATATGAGAGCAGTTATCAGTACCCAGGTGTTTTTAAAACAGCTGTTAAAGAGGGCCTAAAGAAACACTCTTTGCAAAAACACTTGTTTATTAGAAGCACTTATCAGAGTTCTGACTTGAATCTTAACAAATTGTAATTTAGCCATTTTACAGCACATTTACGTTATGTTCTTCACTGCTTGGAGCTTTGCTATTCTACATGATCCCTCCACAGACCAAACCAAGAGAGCTCCAACGTTTCCAGTAACCAGGATGTCCAGCAGCTCAACAAAGTGTTTCCGGTCTGTACATGTGCAACAGTTGTTTTCACATCTGATCTGTTCACAACAATTACCATGCTGCACTTTCAGACCAATGAAATTCACCATGTATCAAACATGGATCTGATATTTGGTTTTAAGATTTAGTTTGATTTAATTATCTGTTCCAGGTTCTCCGGCAGGACATCATCAACTTTGTGGAAGAGGAGCTCAATAAGTTTCAGGAGGATCTGCGTCACCCAGAAATGTTTGAGAGTCCGAGGGGTGTCGAGGATGAAGGGATCAACAGAGAGGCATTTCGAGAGATCACAGTGGACTTCCTGAGGAGAATGAATGAGGATGTGCTGGCCGACCTGCTGCAGAGGAGTAAGAGGATTTCTGAAAAGATTTTACATGCTGGATTAATGATGTTTAGAGGTATAGGGAGAAGTGTTTCCTGCAGGAAATTCACCAGGAGGATTTCAATCAATTTGTTTTTTGTTTCTGAAACTGTAGTTAAGGCTGAGGGTGCATGTTGGTAAGGCGTCCGCCTCGACTGTAAAGTGCCGCGGGAAACGCTGGTATGAAACGTGTCACATGCCATTTTCAGATTGGGTTTCCACCAAAGAGCCGTAACTTAGCTCAACTGTCATCCCGTCTTTGTGTGTTCATATTGATTCTGTGACGGCGTGATATTGGTGGCCCAGTCTTTGAACTGTGATTTCACATTCACACCACTGTTAGTACCTGTGAAGACGGTACAGAGGGGGGTCACTTCCGCAACATTCAGATTGAAGGTGAAGTGTCACAAGGACGTAAACATCGGTCTTGAAATGGCGATCTGAACAGGGTTGATGTTTGCTTTCTTCTGAAGAGTCTAACTGTCATATTCTTTATGAATAACTTATTGGTCTTATTTGTTGTTTCTTCATTCAGGTAGCCCTTCTTCAGTTTGCAAACAGAAACTCAAATCTAACCTGAAGGAGAAGTTCCAGTGTGTGTTTGAGGGGATTGCTAAAGCAGGAAACCCAACCCTTCTGAAGCAGATCTACACAGAGCTCTACATCACAGAGGGAGGGACTGGAGAGGTCAATGATGAACACGAGGTCAGACAGATTGAAACAGCATCCAGGAAACCAGACAGACCAGAAACAACCATCAGACAAGAAGACATCTTTAAAGCCTCACCTGGAAGAGGTGAACCAATCAGAAGAGTGATGACAAAGGGAGTGGCTGGCATCGGGAAAACAGTCTTAACACAGAAGTTCACTCTGGACTGGGCTGAAGACAAAGCCAACCAGGACATACAGTTCACATTTCCATTCACTTTCAGAGAGCTGAATGTGCTGAAAGAGAAAAAGTTCAGCTTGGTGGAACTTGTTCATCACTTCTTTCCTGAAACCAAAGAAGCAGGAATCTGCAGGTTTGAAGAGGTTGTGTTCATCTTTGACGGTCTGGATGAGTGTCGACTTCCTCTGGACTTCCACAACACAAAAATCCTGACTGATGTTACCAAGTCCACCTCAGTGGATGTGCTGCTGACAAACGTCATCAGGGGGAACCTGCTTCCCTCTGCTCGCCTCTGGATAACCACACGACCTGCAGTAGCCAATCAGATCCCTTCAGGGTGTGTTGACATGGTGACAGAGGTCAGAGGGTTCACTGACCACAAAAGGAAGAGTACTTCAGGAAGAGTCCAGCGATGAGGATCAGGCCAACAGAATCATCTCCCACATCAAGACATCCAGAAGCCTCCACATCATGTGCCACATCCCAGTCTTCTGCTGGATCACTGCTACAGTTCTGGAGGATGTGCTGAAGACCAGAGAGGGAGGAGGGCTGCCCAAGACCCTGACTGAGATGTACATCCACTTCCTGGTGGTTCAGTCCAAACTGAAGAACATCAAGTATGATGGAGGAGCTGAGACAGATCCACCCTGGAGTCCAGAGAGCAGGAAGATGATTGAGTCTCTGGGAAAACTGGCTTTTGAGCAGCTGCAGAAAGGAAACCTGATCTTCTATGACTCAGACCTGACAGAGTGTGGCATCGATATCAGAGCAGCCTCAGTGTACTCAGGAGTGTTCACACAGATCTTTAAAGAGGAGAGAGGACTGTACCAGGACAAGGTGTTCTGCTTCATCCATCTGAGTGTTCAGGAGTTTCTGGCTGCTCTTCATGTCCATCTGACCTTCATCAACTCTGGAGTCAATCTGATGTCAGAAGAGTTTTTGACCTCCCAGGAGTGTGACACAGGAAATGGAGAAACTTCAATGACACACTTCTACCAGAGTGCTGTTGACAAGTCCTTACAGAGTCCGAATGGACACCTGGACTTGTTCCTCCGCTTCCTCCTGGGCCTTTCAATGCCAACCAGTCAGACTCTCTTGCGAGGCCTTCTGACATCGACAGGAGGTTCACAGACCAATCAGGAAACAGTCGAGTACATCAAGAGGAAGATCAGTAAGAATCTGTCTGCAGAGAAAAGCATCAATCTGTTCCACTGTCTGAATGAACTGAATGATCGTTCTCTAGTGGAGCAGGTCCAACAGTCCCTGAGATCAGGACGTCTCTCCACAGATAAACTGTCTCCTGCTCAGTGGTCAGCTCTGGTCTTCATCTTACTGTCATCAGAAAAAGATCTGACCGTGTTTGACCTGAAGAAATACTCTGCTTCAGAGGAGGCTCTTCTGAGGCTGCTGCCTGTGATCAAAGTCTCCCAGAAAGTTCTGTAAGTTTATTCATCTATAAATGATCTGCTATTTTCAACAGAAAACAAACTAGTCTACCACTTGTGAAAAAACTCTGCCAGCATTAACGCGTTAATCCTGTTGCGATTATGAATGTTTCATTTCACTTTAACAAACTCTCAGACAGCTCAGCTGACGAGTCCAAAGTAATATCCACCTTATGACATCACACATTGACCTTACGACATCAAACAGCCTGCCCGATTTATCGGCCAGTCGATAATATCAGCATGTCCAGTGACTATAAGTATCGGCTAATTTTATCTCCGATATGCGCCGATATTACTCGATTTCTTCACCATTCAAATAGCATTTCATTTGAGTTTCATTGTATTACACTAGCAGTTCTCTGTCACCAGCAGAGGGCGCTATATGGAATCTAAGCTTCACAGGATTAGGCTAAATCAGAATTTACAGCCATGAACAAACTGAATTTGCAGAGCAGTGGAAACATGGTTGCAGAGTGACAGCGGGTGACATGCCCACATGTAAGGATCACCTGTTTCTTATATTTGGTCATGACACTGAGTGACTCCACCTACTTCTCGCTCAGGGAAGCTGCAGGCTTGAGATTTATAACATATATATTTATAACTTGTTTTCATACTGTTTTCTCCCCCAGGCTGAGTAGCTGTAACCTGACAGAGAGAAGCTGTGAAGCTCTGTCCTCAGTCCTCAGCTCCAAGTCCTGCAGTCTGAGAGAGCTGGACCTGAACAACAACGACCTGCAGGATTCAGGAGTGCAGCTGTTGTCTACAACACTACAGAGTCCACACTGCAGACTGGAAACTCTCAGGTCGACATTTATGGTCCCATTTCATTGATGGCACTTGCAGTAGTTATAGAGTCAGGATAATCTTTTCTATGGAGAGGAAATCTGATGACCTCCCACATGTGATGTTTTTGTGTCTGCAGACTGTCAGGCTGTCTGATCACAGAGAAAGGCTGCAGATCTCTGGCCTCAGCTCTGACCTCAAACCCCTCCCATCTGAAGGAGCTGGACCTGAGCTACAATCATCCTGGAATCACAGGATTAACGCTGTTGACGGTCTACAGGATTCACAATCAAAGCTGGACACTCTCAGGTATGATGAGATCTTTGTCTGTCTGGGTCACACACGAGGGTAAAACACTGAACTATGAGCGTTTAGTTTTAGAAGTTATGAGTAAAAATATAAACAAACATTATTATGATTATTAGAAAGGTACAGTTCATGCATGAGCACAAACACAGGCCGAAACATGGACAGCCTTCATTAATGAGAAATCGAGTGTTCTGGCTGTATCTAACAATAAGACTCTATGGGCCTGATTTACTAAAGGTTTGCGTGTCTTAAAACTTGTGCAAACTTGATACCACTAGCAAACAAATGTGCTGTCTGATCTGCTAACAGCGTGCAGTGGGGATTGTGTCTTTATGAGCAAAACAACACACATTGTCCATTTAGTACGTTTGCCTTAATGAATATGCAATATGTGACGGTGTCTGAATTTAACACCTTTGAAAAGAAAGTGCTAATCGACCAGTGTTACACACAACAGGCTGCTGTTAGGAGGAGACATAGGCACAATCAAAGAAGGCATACAGATCGTGTTATTCCCCACACATGTTAAGAAGTTTGGAATGACAGCAGGAAACACCATGATTAAACTATTGTTGCCTCCTCGACTGCTCGACTCCTCGTCTTTACAAAGTTACAGATGATGCACACATTCTGGAGTCAGTGTCTAATGAGAGGAGGGAGAAGTGGGCTGGTTGAATATATTTAATATGAGTGACGTAATGTCCATGTTCTGTGGTCACAGAGGATGTGTTAATCTGCCCCCCCCCCTCTCTTTCAGGTTGGAGCCTACTGGAATCCAGTGGTTGACACCAGGTTTGATGAAGTGTGAGTGTTTTTTTTAAATATTTGTCACATATTCACAGCGTATTTCAAATGAGTCACGACAGCTGTTTGAATATTAAATGATTGTTAATAAACTTCCTGATTACATCACACTTATACTATAATCATTGACACTGGAGCCATAGCTTGGTATTATCTGCTGTGTTGTTGTTGCTCTGTCTCAACCCATCTCTCGTCTATCTTTCTCGGTTCATCCGGTCACGTCAGCTGCTTGTTCACCAATGAGCTCAGTTCGGCTCGACGTTTCTGCCGGTTGAGAAGAACGTGTTTCCTGCAGAGCGCTCGCTCTTGGTGGATTGATGTTTGTACGGTCTAAACCCGGGGCCCGTTTCAGAAAGGAGGTTCTACAAACTCTGAGGCCCCGTTTACACGACAACAATCATAATAACACGGTAACCTTTCATTGCCTTTTGGCTGTGTGGTTACACGACAACGCCATTTTGGGTGTGCAAACGGTTTTTTTTAAACAGCAGCTTCTCCGTCGATGTGTAGACTGGAAAAACGCTGTTTCTCTAAAAACGTAGACTTAACCCACATCCAGTCGATAGTCATGACCGAGTAGGTGGACTACAACAACAATGGCCGACGAGTTCTGTTTGTGAGAATGTCGACTGTCACGTCTCCCAGTCAACATTTTATTGAAGGAAGAATTTTCAACTTTTTGATCCAGTAGATGTCGCCCTTGAGCTCCAGCATGAAACCAAAACAAACTGCTGTTAGGCCACGCCTCCTCCATACTGAAGCCTCTGCTCCTCCAGAGACACACCTCCAACCCCCCTCCACTCACGTTCACACGGAGGAGTTATCAATCAGAACTCACCTCAAATAATACGAGGCAACTGAAATCCACCTCCGTCTGTGGGAGCTTTTCTGTTGAAAGTTGTGAACGCTCCGCCCTGATTTGTGAGCACAGAAAGCGTGAGCTGTGGTCGTAACGATTCAGTCATACAGTATACGCCGGCCTTTACGCCTCTTTCTCGGGTTTGAGTGACCTCCCTTTCTGGAGCAGGAAACGCAGAGCTTCCTTCACGTCAGGGGGAACAGACTCTGGGTCTACACTAATCCTGCTTTCTAACACCGACTGTCGCTCTTTTGAAATGTGTCTTGAAATTGCTTCTGTTATGGTTTGTGGCTACGTTAATGAAAATCCATTGATTGAGTCCGTCAGTAATCATCGATGATCATTTCATAACGCCATCTTTATCGTGTCTCGTTCTCTTCTTCAGATTCCTGTGAACTCACAATCGACACCAACACGGTAAACCACAGAATCCAACTGTCTGACAACAACAGGAAGGGGATATATGTGAAGGACTCTGTGTTATATCCTGATCATCCAGACAGATTTAACTGTCCTCAGCTGCTGTGTAGAGAAGGTCTGACTGGGCGCTGTTACTGGGAGATTGAGTGGACAGAAGGAGTGATTATATCAGTGAGTTACAGAGGAATCAGCAGGAAAGGACACAATCAGTCCTGGTGTCTGAGATGCTTTGATGATGATGGTGGAGTTGAATACTCTGTCCTTCACAATAACAAGGAGACACTTATTACCCGCCCCTCTATCTCCTCACCCTCCACCACGCACAGAGCAGCGGTGTATTTGGACCACACTGCTGGCTCTCTGTCCTTCTACAGAGTCTCCTCTGACACACTGATCCACTTCCACACCTTCAACACCACCTTCACTGAACCTCTCTATCCTGGGTTTGGGTTTGGGTTCTGGTCCGGAAGTGAAAGTTCTGCGTCTCTGTGTCGTCTGTAGAGGGAGAGTCTCCTTCTGTTCACTGCTGATCAGTATCACCCCATTCTAGGCTCTCCATAACCTCCGTCACCTCTGTACCTCTCTGATCTCCTTCATACCGACACACTGACCCTACTCTCCGGTCTTCCTCCTCCACGCCGCTCTCTGTTCCTCCTGCCCGCTTAACCTCCATCATGGACCCGCCGTCTCTGGAACTTTCTACCACCAACCCCCCATGACACAGACTTTATCTCCACTTCAGAATCCCCCCCCCCCTTCACTCTCACCTCTTCAACACGCTATTTTCTCCTCCTCCTCTCTGACATCATTTATTTGTTGTTTTGTTTTCTTGTTGTTCTTTGTTGAGCGTCTTTGAGGATTCAGAAAAGTGCTATTTAAGTGTAATGCACTATTATTCTTATTCTTATAATGAACTGGAAACACGTGACAGACACCAATGAAAACATGGAAGATGTCGTGTGTTGCTTTAGTTTTTTTTGTAGAAATGACCAAAACACGATAAACTTTGTGATTGTTTTTTAATGAAGCAGAACACTTGTTCATTACCAAAAAAAAGCCGTTACAATAACATTAAATGTTGTGCAACGCTGACACAGAAAAGGGAATGTGTGAGTTTGTCCTACAGAACCAACTAACGACCTCCGAACCCGACCGCAGCTCATCCAGGCCGTGACGTACTCCAGCTGTAGAATACTGTTTGTGTGTTTGTGGGGCCAACAAACTGAGGCCTCGTTTACACGACAACCACTTCATCTTAACACGGTAAACTTTCACGGTTTGGCTGTTTGTTTACACCACAACGGCGTTTTCAGTGTGCAAACTTTAAACATACAGCAGCGTCTCCGTCGACGTGTCGACTGGAAAACGCTGCTTCTCTAAAAACGTAGACTCTACGGCGTGTGCATTTCAGTTCCGGTCGATGGTCGTGAGCGAGGAGGTGGACTACAACAACAATGGCCGACTTCTGAGTTCTGTTTCTGAAAACATCGACTGTCACGATTCGGTCGACATTTTGTCAAAATGTTTTGTTTGTTTACACCTCACCGCTCTGCAGAAGGAACAGCCTGTGCACAAAACATGAATATATTACATTAAACGACAGCGTCTCCCGCTAAGTAACTTTAGCACTCAGTTACTTTCAGACAAACGCCGCTTGGGGGTCAAACAGTTAACGCTCTTTGATATCGAGGCCAAAACACCGAGGTTTAATATGAAATTACATGAACGCCTCTTTTTTTTCTGACCACACGCCGACTGAGATCGTGATCAGCTCGATGAATTATCTTGTGTTCTGAGAGAAGGCGGTAAACGTTCCCGCTGAGAGCGAAACTAAATCTCAATCTCAAAGACAAAGTGCCACCATCGATGTCTTCCTAAAGAATAAGAACAAAGAACATAGAAACATTTTAACTCAAATTGTCAGTAGCTGGGATGAAAGTGGGCAAAGACAAAAATGAAACTGTTCTGTAAAAGTTCACTTGTGGGACTGGCATCTGCATAAACAATCTGAAAACCAAATAGAATGCAGTCTCATCTGTTCACCTATGAAAATAAATCGATCATTGAAAAACTAAAGCCAGGGTTTCCTGCAGCACTTTATAGTTTGGGCGGCTGCCTAGACAACACACGCCTCCCACCTTATCTACCGTGTTTTTATATATAAATAAATAAAGAAGAAATGCAATTTATAACTCCATAGTTAAAAAGTTCTTACCGTCATCATGGCCGCCATGTCTTTGAGCTTTTTGCCCTGCTGCCCCGAACGCTTCTCAAAACAGCAGGCTTGCAGAGTGTAGGTCAAGCTGTGATAGAAACCTTGACTGAAGAGGCATAGTTGTGACACGCTTAAACTCTGCGTTTCTCTGAAACATAAAACCATTTTTTAACACATAGACACAAAATGCGTTACTCCCAAACTACACCGTCCGACCATCACTGCGTGCACTTGTTTAGTCATTTAATTTCTGAAAAAAAACGGGGAAATTTTGAACTACATCCTAATGGAGCCAAGCATTAGTCTAACAGTTGAACATACTATCTATAGCACAAGTCACAACATTATTAAAGACTTTTCTTCTGGCCTCCATTACATTGAAGAGACCAAGCCATGGGAGCATCAGGAATGACTTTGTGATGCAAATGTTTTCTCCATTTCAAGCCGAACTGTCTCTCTATTATTAAGCTTCTTGATATCTGAAAGGAGTTCAACCCTCATCTTCTCCAGGGACTGTTGACTTTCTCCGGGTGGAAGAGAGGGGCAGTAAGCCGGACATCCCACTTTTCGGAGATGTGTGTGGTAGTTGGACAACTTGTATTTGAGGCTGGACTTCCAACCCTCATAGCCAATGTCTGAGCCTTTTTCTTGTAAACATAGATGCCTCATGATGAGTGCCTCTGCAACTTGATCAAACTCCCTGTCTGTGAGATAGACTTTGTGGTGAACTACCTCCTGAATCAACCCCTCCAGTATATCAGACTTCAGCTCTGGATCAGGGATCAGCAGCGTCCCATTTTCTTTGAAAGCTTCATGAGCTTTCTCAAGCTTGAACTGTGCATCATAAGAAAAACAGGGAACATGAAATGTATCTGGCCAGGAAGACCGTGAAGAAGTGGACTCTGGAGATGTTAGAATAACCGTGCTGTCACCAGAAAAAGATGTGGTGTCATCAGGAGTACTGTTTGGTGGAAAGGAGAAACAGCCCACACCTTGATCTGCATCAGCATCTTGAGGTTGGCATGATGTGAAGATGACCTTGACTGTAGCTTTGTCTTGGATTTCTTCCATAGAAGTTAAGTTCATAAACTCACAGCCAAAAAGGGTGTCCATGAACTGTAGCCGAAAGGATTCCATTATTTTACACTGACTCTTAATCTCAGTCTCCAGCTCAGTCACAGTCAAAGGCAGGCCAACAGGAAACGCCACCCTCTGATTGCTGTCTGGCCCCAGGATCACTCTGAGAATAGCTGAAGTTGTCATGGTCTCACTTTACTGTCTGTTAGGAAAGAGTAAATAAAGAAAAAGTTTAGAATAAGTTTTGTTTCAAGAGGTTCATGTAATCATTAAAATGTAATTTGACTGTCTCTATGCTTTATTTGTATATTTTGAATGTGATTAACAAATTCTGAAAAACATTTAGTTGGAGAAAAAAAAAACTAGAAAAGGAGATGTAGGCACAATGTACAGTTGCTCCATTCTCCATGTGAATTTTGGATCCCACTGTTATTCAAAGTCACACAAAGCAGTCCCTCCTCTTCACGTGACTGCATGTACGTGCCCGTGCAGTGTTTAATTTGTAACCTTAAAGCTATACTTTGACCTTTAAGATGGGTGTATGCAGACATCGAAAAACAAAAAGAGGGCAGGTGATAAGCATAAAATAAAACAAAACATCTTGCACACTGCTGGGCTCTAATGTACAACTTACTTATTGCATAAAACTTGTCTGATGAAGAACATGTGTGCTCAAAATGTTACTCAGAGCCCAGCAGTGTGCGAGATGTTTTGTTTCATCTTATCATGAGTAACCTTACCTCAAGACACAGATTGCTCTCTTCAATGTCACCATCCGCACACACCCAACCAGATAGGCAGCCAAGGGATACTCATCGACCAGTTCACATGCTTTAATACTTGGGACCTACTTGGTAAAACTGAAGGACAGGCCTTACATCTCCACATTCACAGCAAAGGTTTGTCACACTCGCAGCATCATTCACTGCAAAGGAGAAATTGAGTCAAATAAGTATTCATATCTAATAAGAAAATCACCAAATGTACAAGTCAGAAATGCATGACAAGCTGTCAGAAATTCCAGAATTTACTCCAGTACACCACAACCAACCAATATAACCTCAATAATAGGCATAAAGTAGAATAACATCTGACAATGTTTACAAAAATGGAAAATAAATAAGCTTTATAAAAGTAGAATTTATGGCAGCGCTGTTGTATAGGTAGCTAGTTACGGTGGGCCCTCTTTGTTTACATGCCGACCATTTGAAGAGTCTAGGCTGTGTATTAACACCAGAGTATGGACAGGAATAAGATCTTGAGGAGATATTCACCAGAATCACTGGCTCCACCTTTAAGTGGATTTTATTTTTAAATACCATTTTTACAGAGCAAATAAAAGTGATGTTCTCACCACTAAAACTTGAGCCCACAGTGAAAGCGCTGACTCTGTGAGATGTTCACTGACTGAGTTTGACGGTCAATCTGCAGGAAAAAGAAAAAGAAAAACACTTCTAACCGAATTTCTCTAAGCACAAACAGTGTGAACTATAGGTGTGGGGAAAATATGCTTTTAGATGGCTGATGACAATCTGAAAATGTAAATGACACCATTTGCTCTCTTCAATTTGCATTTATATAATAGATATACTCTCCACAACAAAACTCTGGAGTTTTATGTTGATGGTGAGCTGCATCAAATACACACAAACTATGCATTAGTATATACAATTTATTTTCTTAGTGGGAAAACACTTCTATTCCTGTTATTTAGAGTAAAGATATCTACTCAGCAAACACAGAACTTGAGCCACAGTGGAGGAACTAAGGGTATCCTCAGTCTGAAGGCAATCTGCATCAGCAACAAGAGCCACAACATGAAAATACAAACACTTCATAATACAAAACTGTTACTCATAAAACGGCAGAGCCTTCTGGACAGAACCTGCAGTCACTTCTCATATATTACAGAAGCTATTAAATAAGCTAATAAATAAACTAAACGTTTATGTTATTTATCTAATTAATGTGCATGTTACAGTGTCTTCTGCGGACACACACACACACACACACACACACAACACACACACACACACACACACACACACACACACACACACACACACACACACACACACACACACACACACTCACACACACACGCATATTTCCTTAGAGATATGCAAAAGAAAATAAAATTATTGACCGGTATTGGAACAATCATAAATTAAGTCCAACTAATGTCACAGATTATAAATCAATCAGAACGGCTGCAGAGCTACAAACAGGAAGCAGAGGCTCTCCAGAGTCAGGTTGATTTCACCACACTGGGGTTTATACAGCTCAGTGCTTCATTGTTACATTTATTCATCTCATGCTACAGGAAGAACATTTCAGGATGGTATGAATGTAATACAGTTATATGGTAACTATCTATTTGATGTGAAATGCATTATAATCCTTTTAATCTCTTATTACAACATAACCAAAGTAATTGAAAGAGTTCTGGCCTTCTCTGTTCATACAGGACCAGGATTTCAGAGAATGGAGAAACCAACTGATCTCACTGAGCCACACACACACACACACAGAAGTGCCAGCCACCGCGCGCAGCTGTTTACTTTAAGTTTAACAGTTGATCCGTATTCTCCATTCACTCTCACCGTGTCTGCAGCTAACTAAACGACAACAACATCATCCCACAGACTGCTGTCTGAACTTCTCCACAGACTGCTGTCTGAACTTCTCCACAGACTGCTGTCTGAACTTCTCCACAGACTGCTGTCTGAACTTCTCCACAGACTGCTGTCTGAACTTCTCCACACAGACCCTGTGAAACAGCGCTACGTTATAAACTCTTTAGATATAGCGCTTGTAAATGCACACTCCACTTTTCACTTCCATCACGTGCAGCAGGAGCAGTCAGAGATACACACACCTCCACGATACACAGTCTGTTTATATTAAGTGTTTAAAATTGTCTAAGGTAAATAGAGATAAAAGCTTGTTTTAATGAACTGCCTGCCTTTCGCTCTCTACACCTGAGCAGGTTATTCACAAACTCCAAGAAACACACACCCGCACGCACACACGAAATATAAGTTAGGTTAATTTTATAAATGCATTGACGTGCGTCATTATCCGTTTAATATAAAACTACTGTCACAGTTTTACACTTTCTAAAAGGCTGTTACAGGGAGAGATAACTGAACGGGAAGCCCCTGTATGCAGGGAACAGGAGGTAATTTCTCTGCCTTTGTGTGGAACAGGATCGTCAGCGTGAAGGAGCAGCGTCTGACCTCTCTGGTGGCGAACATCCTGATTGGTTTGTCTGCGTTCATGCTGCCCCTCCCTCTGCAGTGGATCCCAAAGCCCGTCCTCTACGGCCTCTTCCTTTACATTGCAGCCACGTCGCTCGATGGGAACCAGATGGTGGACCGCATGGCGCTGCTGCTGAAGGAACAGGTGAGCTGGCAGGACCCCCCAGGTGTGATGGATTTGTTTTTTTACTTCAGTGTTTCCTCTAAAGTCCAAAATGAGGTAGCTCTGAATAAATCAGCTAGGTGATGTTCTCAGAGTTATGAGGAAAACGACCACATTAAACCGCCTAA